CTCATATCAACAAAGTGCACCTTCTTTCCCGGGAGCCCATCCGAAAGGAACCTCAAAGTTAAGCGTGCTCGGCTCGGATCAATTTAAGGATGGGTGGTTGACTGGGAAGTTGTTCCTAGGTGCGCACGAGTGAGGACAAAGTGTGCAGGAAAAACTAGTGTTGATCTGTAGGGCCAGTCTAGATCCCACATGCAACGGCTAGGAACTGGTGGGTTTGGTCGGAGTATTACACCTTCAATGCGTCGTGTTGCTCTCTGCTAGCAGGTGGTGCCACTTCTTTGTGCAGGTCCAGGAGTTTGGCGGCGAGCTAGAGGGGCTGGCAATATTTCTGCCGGAAGCACAAGGTGTGGCCCGGCGACATTGTTGTCCTGAAGCCCTCCAACCTCGGCCTGAAGGTCCAGATCTACGACAGGAAAACCTCCACGATCTGCTGTCGATGCCAAAAGCGTGTCTGCGGAGGGCCCTATGACCAGGCCATCTGATGTTCTGAACTAAGTAGTAGTACTGGAGTAGTATGAGCGGTGTCTTTGCTTTTGCTGCTAAACTGTCTATATTTTGTTCAAGGAACAACACACCCTGATCAAATTGTGCAGGGGCATGGGATGCCCCTGATGTCTTACAACTCTACCCCTCTACTAATGTAGGTACTGCACGCTTGCTAATGCCAGTGTTAATTGTGTGTCCTGTTCATCTGTTGTGTGCTTGCTAGTGTGAAGTTCATATGCTGATTGCTTGCTAGTGTGGCGCAAAGTGGTGGAAAGGTCACCACTTTTGAAAGGGGTGAGCAGAACAGCACATTGCACACAACCAAACAGCTGTGATTTGTATCTGCTCACCGCTAAACCACACATGCAGGCGTCCAAACATCAGGCACAAAACTGCTCAGCAGTGCGATGCAGACAACCTCACGGCTAAACCACACATGCAGGCGTCCAAATATCAGGCACAAAACTGCTCAGCGGTGCAATGCAGACAACCAAACTAGTTGCACAACGTGGCTCCGAGGCTGTTTCCACTCAGCCAGGCCCAACCGAGCCACATATGCAAAAGGCCAAAAAACGACACAGGTAACCAAACAGGCTCTAGGTGACCTGACGTCTGAATCCTGGCACATTTTTCTTGGGTTCGATTTATTTCTCTGTTCAACTGACAAGGGGGACTAACACGTTGCACTGAGATACAATGATTTATTATTCCAATATATGCTGACAAGTGGGACCCACACGCCACATAGGCAGGTTTAACGGCTACGAACAGAATATGCGCCACGTAGGCAGAGGTTAAGGGCTACAGACAGAAAGGGCAGTTGCACTGTATTTGCACGTTGGGGTAAGTTTGAGCGAAACGTGTATTTTACAACTTTAGGTACCAAAGTGACCATCGAGCGCAAGTTTAGGCACTCCCAGTGTATTTACCAAGAAAGGGTTTCCCCCCGCTACTCCCAGTGTATTTACATCGTTTGATTTCTAAGGACTTCTGTGACATTAAAATTGCTCTTGGTACACCTGGAACTCCTTTATTCTCAGTTTTCATGTTACTAACCTGTTATTATTACTACGATACAGATCGCTGCTATAGAGGTTCCAGAGGAATATATGGGATCAGTTGTCGAGCTATTGGGGAAAAGGCGCGGACAAATGCTTGACATGGAAGCTAGTGGGTTCGTGCTGTACTCTAGATTATCTTCACTCGAAAAATCTTTTGCACTTTTCTTTGATACAGAAGAGAAAGAAACTAAGGCTTGTTGCCAACAAAGTTACTTATGTTCCAACTCAACTATATTGCATGCATCGTTGCCAGTCTACTACAAATTGCTTGTTCCTGATATTGACTTGTTGCCATAACGAGACCTTTCAAATGGCAGGCCAGAGGGAACTTCATTGCTGAAATACAAGGTTCCAACCAGAGGCCTCATTGGGCTCCGGAATGCAATTCTAACAGCTTCTAGGGGCAGAGCTATACTTAACACAATCTTTGACAGCTATGGCCCGTGGGCTGGAGATATTAGTTCACGTGATCAAGGCTCATTGGTACGAATAAATGCCAACTTGAATATGAACTAGGCGATGATTATGTACTTCCAGTTTGATCAAGTAAATATTGTGACAGACTAATAATGGTAGCTAAGATTCATTCAAGTAAATAATTTGATAGACAAATAAGTAGGTAAGATACATTCAACAACGTGACACTACAACAGCGCATGTATATCGAAAGAGAAAAATAGTTTATCACTTAATTACCTTGCCACTCTAGCCATCCTATTGCAGGGAATTATTTATTTTTACTTGCAAGTACGAACGCAATATGAGAAATTCACCTATAGATATGATGGAGAAGCTGTAAAAATACTCCCTCCGTTCATAAATATAAGATGTTCTAACTTTTTTCTGAATCGGATGTATATAGACATGTTTTAGTGTATTTGTTCACTCATTTCAGTCCGTATGTAGTCCATATTGAAATATCCAAAACATCTTATATTTTTTACTTCTGGGAGTAGATATTTGCACTATTCGAGTTGTGGATCATCCCATTGCATATATATACCTTGCACTGGATGGCATATTAATCCTTAACAAAAACAAGGAATGTCATAGTAATCTATTTCAGGTTTCCTTACCAGATTGGAGTACCCAAAAATAAATAAATTATGTAGGCCATATATACATGCCTTCATGTTGATGCACCATAATTTCATTTAGGTATATATTGACGAGCATAAGGTAAGCTCAACGTTCACCCTGGTAGCAACTCGAAAAGTAAATTTTAATTTTTGTTAACCTACTGGCAATCTGGAATGCCGCAATGAAAAACATATAGTAATATGGAAAACATATTTGATGTCGAGGCGCATTATATCCTACAGTAATTGAAAACACGTGAATGCACCGCAGGAAACACAAAAGAGTTCTTAAGAGATTGTGTGTTTGTCATAGTTCACATAAGCATGAACATTTTTCGTGAAGATATTTTCTTTTAAAACAGAGTAGAAAGTGGCTGTAGGAAAATTAATAAGCTTCCTATCCTACAAAATCAAACAAGCTGAACTTCTCTTTGAACCAGTTCATTTGAATTAAAGGAGGCTATATTAGGCCTATAGGCTAATATTAACGATTTGGCATCACTTGGTTTATGAAAAAGATTGCCACGGGAATTTACCTTGATCCAACGCATGGATAAGAGTGATAAAGAATGATAACTCTTTATGACGTGGAATGATAATTCTGTATGACATGGAATGATAATTCTTTATGGCGTGGAATGATAATTCAGATAGCAGCATCCTAATTTGAAGATCAATACAATTGAAAATCTGCCAATAGACTACTACATTATGCAATACTAAAGGTAATGCACTGACATAGAGTTTAAGGTATTTCACGTAGACTATGAATTTCTTTTGTGCTATTACAGAGATGACGTACACCAGGCTTGCCTTTGTGCAGTGTTAAAGTTGTTGCCTTGGTGCAGTGGTAAAGCTGTTGCCTTGGAGCTACATGCACCGGGCTGCTCTTTTTTATTACAGAGATGACGTACACATGAACACCCACATGACATGCAAACACGAGTCCGCCTTCACTGGCTGGATCTAAGGAATCCTAAAAATAAATCCGTGGATCTCACAAGATCTGTATATATTTTATCTTGTATGAAAGACGTTTACATTTTAGCAAGTATATACACAGTAAAATTAGACTATGGGTTTGCACTGACAACTTTGAAATCCTAAAGCATATCATTTCAAATTTTATGCATAATATAAACAGGTGCATGATAAACCTATCTCCAGTACAACATATCTCTGCATAGGCCAAACATGCTCTAGAAATTGCATGGTTAATTACATGTCATTTTTTTCGTTTGGTCCTTCCAAAAATTGAAAATTACGAAATTGTCAACACATCAGCTATATCTTAAACATGGTTCTTTTAGGGAATGCCAACTAATTTTACCCACTGACTTTTTACAAACTTATCTGCCTACCTATTGCGCGGAACTTATTTACCTAATTTGGCTTACAGTTTTCTTCAATATCTAACATAGTGGGAATGATCCAGGTGGCATTCGAAGGTGGAAGTACTACTTCTTATGCTTGCGTTAATGCACAAGAAAGAGGTATACTATTTGTCAAACCAGGGCAGGATATTTACAAAGGCCAGATAGTTGGTATCCATCAGCGTCCAGGTGATTTAGCACTTAATGTGTGCAAGAAAAAGGCTGCAACTAATGTCCGTTCCAACAAGGAAACTACAGGTGAAATTTCATAAGCATTCAATGCTTTGATGATATTATTTTCTAGAAAGAACTTGGAACAAACTTTAATTACCCTAGCCCTAACAGAAAGTAAATACTCTGGATTCTCATTTTTTCTTTTTGAGAAGGAGGAAAACCTCCGGCCTCTGCATCAGTCGATGCATGCAGCCATATTATTAGAAATCGAAACAGAGTCTTAACATCCAATGAAGCTCAAAATCCGAGCAAAAAAGGAGAAACTAAGTATGCAAAGTGCCACATCCGGCAATAAAGCGCCACATCCGGTGATAAAGAACAGACTACGATGTCTACACACCTAGCCTATTATTAACTCGCCATCCAAATCGGCTGAAGATAGCTCGTGCTACCGTCTCCCAGCGGTTGCACCCAATAACCATAGGCCCCCTGTAGTCCGCATGAGTGAGTAACGATCATATACGGATCCAGGCTGTAGCTTTGTAGATAACCTGCAAAAAATTGGTGAATGTTGTACCATTAAAATCATATCGTTTCTCGTGTTCCATATAGCCCATAATAAAGCACATATCCCTATCCAAATATGTTTAGTTATGTGTATGTCTACTCCATTAAGCCATGTCCCAAATAACGTGTTTATGCTTATTGGAGGTTGTATGTTAAAAGCTATATGGATAGATCGCCATAACAATTTTGCAAGTGGACAAAGAGGTGTTTAATCGTTTTGTTTTGATCACAAAAACAGCACCTGGGGTTACCAACCCAATTCCTTTTCATCAGATTATCTTTGGTAAAGATGACTTCTTTGTGGGCGAACCACATAAAGATCTTGATGCGGAGTGGAACTTTAATCTTCCATATGTGCAAAGACCTCGACAATGGCCCGGCGTCAATTAAGTCCAAATACATGGATTTCACAGAGAATAATCCATTTGTGGTTAACTTCCAACTAATTTTATCCGCATGGTCTGAAAGTTAAACATCCATCAACCTACGGACCAGGTGTAACCAAGCATTCCAACGTTCCCTTACAAGAGATCTCCTAAATTGGATGTTAAGTGGTACTGAATTTAATACTGTGGCAACATAATCCTTCTTACGTTGCACAATATTGTATAGGGAAGGATATTGTAAAGCCAGAGGCGTCTTCCCTAGCCATGTGTCCTCCCAAAATCTAATAGAGGTACCACTACCAATTAGGAACTGTTGAGTATATGTGTTATGTGCATATTGTGTATTAGGCCCGCCTCCTAGTTCCTTGTATAGTTGAGGTCTGTGGCCCACCGTTGTACATCATATATACGTGCCTATGCACGAGAGCAATACATCATGCAATTCCAACAACATACATGGTATCAGTTTTCGGGTTCTAACCCTAGTCTTCCGCCGCCGCGCGCCTTCTCCGCGCCGCCACCGCCGCTCGCGCGCCATCCGCGCCGGCCGCCGCTCCTCCCGCTTCTCCCGATCGCTACCTCATGTCGCCGCTTCGCTCCTTCATGCCAGCCCCGCGCGCCATCTCCACTCCAGCCGCCACCGCGATCCCGCGTTGCTGCTTCACTAGCCTAGCTGATTAAGCTAGCTACTACTCGTGCGTGAGTGTCCAGCAGAAGTCGATCCACTAGCTAGTCTGCCTGCTTGCTCCTGTGTACGTACGCATCATCAGACGGAATCAATTGGCTGGCTTGTGTCGCTAGCAGCTGTTGCATCTCCCGCTAGCCGCCAGCCGCGCGACGCACTACCCGTGCGGCTGCACATCGCTACTGCCGTCCAACAGTGCCGATCGCCGCTGTCGGACCAGCAATGGCGTCACGAGGCCTGTCCGCCGCCGCCTCAGCCGTCCCGCCGCCGGCGCCCTACGGTGCGGCCCCGCCGCCATACGGGGCGGCCACCACCTACAATGCGCCTATTCTCACGTACGGGGTATACGGGACTCCACCCGCATCCATGTACGGGTCTCCGCCTGTGTACGGGGCTCTGCCCGCGTACGAGTCTCTCGGACATTGGTGGGGGTCGTCAGCGGGCCAGCACTCGTCCACTGGGCAGCAGCCAGATGGCGCCCAGCACTTGCAGCATCTGTCAGCGGGCCCGCGAGTTTTTTCGGCAGGCCATTCGGCCTACCCGACACCGCAGTTGCAGCCGGGGTTGTATGGAGTGTACCCACCGAAGTCGTTGAGCGGCGGCTACGACTTCCCCATGGCGTCTCCGTCCCTCTCGCCGGCCCTGCCGCCGGCACCCTGGGACCCGGTGCTCCTCACCGGGCTGCATGCCGCTCATACGCCGAACAACTACACTGGAGATGGTGATTGGTACATGGACACCGGTGCTACGGCTCACATGTTTGCTCATCTTGGTAACCTTGCCTCCTTCACTCCTGTCTCCACCGACCGCCGCATCATTGTCGGCGACGGTTCCACACTTCCTATCACTCATGTTGGGCACACTTCTTTTCCTTCTACTTTCACTCCATTATCTTTGTCTAACATACTTGTGTCACCTCATATTATTAAGAATCTTATTTCCGTTCGTTGTTTCACTCGTGAAAATCCTGTTACCGTTGAATTTGACGAGCTTGGTTTTTGTGTCAAAGACGCTCGAACCAGGATGGTACTTCATCGATGTGACAGCCCCGACGAGCTCTATCCGGTGCACTCGCCTTCATCCGCCACCACCGCACCGGTTGCTCTCTCCGTTGGCGTCGATCTTTGGCACGCTTGCTTGGGTCATCCCAACCCCATCACACTTCGTCATATTCTTAGGAGTTTCAGTTTCAGTTGCAATAAGATCGAGGATCACACTTGTCATGCCTGTCGAGTCGGCAAACATGTTCGCCTGCCGTTTACTAATTCCACCACCATTGCTTCTTTTCCTTTTCAGTTGATTCATAGCGATGTGTGGACTTCTCCGGTTCCCAGTAACTCGGGCTATTTATATTATCTGGTCATTCTTGATGATCATTCTCACTATGTGTGGACTTTTCCTTTGCGCAGAAAGTCGGATGCACTCTCTACCTTGACGGCCTTTTAGTCCTATGTCCGCACGCAGTTTGGGCGTCCCATCCTTGTGCTTCAGACGGACAATGGAAAAGAGTTCGACAACCTCGCTTTGCGCACCTTTTTGTCGCATCACGACACAATTTTCCGCCTCACATGCCCGTACACTTCACAGCAGAACGGTCGAGCCGAACGTGTCCTTCGCACTTTGAATGACTGCGTTTGCACGCTCCTGTTTCATGCCAATGTGTTGTCTCGTTTCTGGCCGGACGCACTCTCCACTGCATCACTTCTTCTTAACATTAGACCCTGCCGCCCACGGTGGAACTACGCACCTCACCATCTTCTCTTTGGTACGCCCCCGTCTTATGACGACTTGCGTATTTTTGGGTGCCTTTGCTATCCCAACACTGCCGACACTGCTTCTCACAAGCTTGCACCTCAATCCGTCGCTTGCACGACTCCAAGGGATATCGGTGCTATGATCCCGTCTCCCATCGTGTGTTCACTTCCCGGCACGTTTACTTTGATGAGCATGTGTTTCCGTTTCACCAGGTACCCCCGGCTGTTCCTCCCGCCACTGATGACGCGGGCTCCTCGACGCCTCTCCCAGGGCGCTCGCGCGCCTCTCTTGGCCCG